TTAGATGGTATATTCTGCAAGGCACGATTCTTTCTGCATTGTCTTTCTTCTCGAGAGTGATCCTGCGTGCTTTCTCAAAAGCTTCAGCAGCGTTACAGATGTTGTGTCTCCAGACCTCCCGATTGGAGGCCAGAGTAGACCAGTTATGTTGATCAGTATGGCCAAGGCTGAGATGTTGTTTCAGGGAGTCCTTGCATCTTCTCTTCGGGGCTCCTCTCATGTGGCAGCCAGTGGCAAGTTCACCATAAAGCAAGATCTTAGGGAGGTGGTGGTCCTTCATCCTTGAGACGTGTCCTGCCCAGCACAGCTGTGTTCTCAGCAGCATGGCCTTAATACTTGTGATTGCTGCTTGTTCTAGAACAGATGTGCTAATTACCAGACATTCATTATCTGTTCTTATAACTCAGATATTTAAAAAAAAAAAAAAAAGAGATGAAAAAACAATACTAAAAGAATGGATTTGCTTTGAATTGTACTGCAGGACTCAGGATCCTTCAAGGTTTCAATTCCTAGAGGAGACATTTTCAACTGCCTGTCAAATTCACATCAATGGGTCTATCCTCAGCACCCTCCTGCTTTATCACATTTATCTGGAGAGGCAGTGCAAGGATGGTGGCTGTTAGGGTGTTTGGGCTCCAAGAAGGAAAGGGAAAATACGCCTGATGCCATTCAAGGCTGATAACTCAGTAGGAGGCTGTAGAAGAGCTGCTGTGTCTGAAGAGGCAGGAGCAGTGCTGAACACTGTCCAACCTACCATTGCAGCTGAGCAACTAGAAGGAATGTGGGAGAGGCAGGACTGGGAGACAGTGAGAGGATTAGGAAATACAACACCAGGATTCGTCTTCCATTTCTTCTCATAAGGTAATTGGTCACGTCTAACTGGGACAGACCCCTTGTCTAGACTGGCTGCCAGACTGAACAATCAGACCAAATCCATAATTTCATAAGGTCTGATGAAAACAACCTTCACAATGTTGCAATGAAGTAGGGCAATGGTAGAGTGAATAAGGCATCTTGCTAATGACCCAGAGGTAAACCAGAGCCTTACTTGTACTCTTGCTGAGAGCTGTTCTGTTTCATTCAGCTGTGTATTTGATCATTCAGGCTAAGAAATCAGCATGATACAAGGCATCTAAAATTTCAGTTGCTTCAACTGGAATATTTAAAGTAGCAAAACAAAGAAGTCTACAGAATTATTTAATTGTAAGCCAAATTATTCAGCACATACCAGACAATAACAGGACCATTAATGGCTTATTAGGGGAAGAACGCCATGCAGATTTCACACAGCTTCAGTTTTCTGTAACATAGGCAGACCCTCTGGGTTGGTCAGACAACCCACAGATTGTGGGGAATGTAATGATGGGTCTCAGTCTGGACAAGCATTAATCCCTTTTTTTTCTTCTGTAAGGATCTGCCCCTGATTCCATATATCAGTGATAGAACAAGAGGGCATAGCTTTAAATGAAAGAGGATAGGTTTAGATTAGGTATTAGGAAGAAATAATTTACTGTGAGGGTGGTGAAGTGCCAGCACAGATTGCCAAAGAAGTTGTGGGTACCCCATCCCTGGAAGTGTTCAAGGACAGGCTGGATGGGTCTTTGAGCAACCTGGTGTAGTGGAAGGTATCCCTGCCCAGGGCAAAGGGGTTGGAACTAGGTGATCTTTAAGGGCCCTTTCAACCAAAATCATTCTATGAGTCTACAATTCTGTTTCAGATTATTGCACTTAATAACTTTAGAGCTTATTTCTTATATTCTAGAATTTCAGCAAGACCAAAGGAAAAGAGAAAGCTATTTCTATAGCAGCATAGGAAACCTGTACCACAGGCAAGCAACCAGACAGGTCACATCTCAACACTGTCTGAGAACAGTGCCAGTGGTATTGCTGTAGCTTACTTATGACATAAATATCAACCTGTCAGAGTCCTGCATGCCTATCCATGCACTACTGAAGGTTTAGCTGCTTGTGTGGAAGATACTCTTTGGCTCAGGCTTGCTGGAAGTATGAGGCATAGGCATGTCTGTGACATAACTTGGGGAGGGATCAGGTGTGAAGTGAGACCTGGGAGGGAGTGGGTGTGCTCGGGGTCAGACATAGCCCTTTTATGGGCTCTGGATATTTCCATTTGTTTAGACTAACCAATTTCAGATTGCTCCACAGCTAGGTTTTTTGATGTCCAAGATGATTGATACTACTGCAATTACATAATTAGTTAATGAGAAGTTTGTGGAAATTTGGAATTTTTCAGAGTCTGAGACCATTTGTTTTAGTTATTACTGTTTAGTTATTACTGATTAAGGCTTGAACTCCTAAGCAGGTGGCTACAGATCTGCAGGTATAGTGAACGGTACAGGGAGAGGATGTCAACTTGAATGAATAGGTTCATGTACAAATACTGATGAACAAACAAAAGTTGTGATGAAGTTTGCTAGGGTGATGCCTCAAGATAGTTCCCAAAGAAAAATCTTTTCCAAGACTATGTGTTATCTGGCAGCATAAAGGTCATAACTCACTTTTTCAGCGAGCAAATGGCATTATGTTGCATTTCTGTTTGGTAATTTAGGATAGGCTATTTGCAAAAATTGGCATTGGTTATACTACTCTCTGCTACTTGGGCTGAGAACTGGGGTTTTTTGTTTATTTTTTCTCCATTCTCTCCATTTGTTTATTTTCTCACTGCTTGCTTCATCCTTTAAAAAACCACAAACCACCAACTTTTCAATTGTGCATTCTATTTTGTCTTGGTTTTTTAAATCTTTTGTGGTGAACATCTTTCAGAGCACACCTCTCACCAGCAGCAGTATCTCACCATAAAGCTGCAAAACCTAGGTATCTAACATAGACCATCCTATGTTCTTTGAATCTGATTAATGATTCATTGGGGCTCTTGCCAGGCACTGGCATGCAGAGCAAGCCTGGGGAAGACAGCAGTGGGGAGTGCAGATGGAAGAGAGGGAAAAGAATGAATTCATGTGAGCCTGCATCACAGTCAGCATGCTGCCTATTGGAATGGGGCAACTAACTTGATTAGTGTGTGTTTTCATAAAGACATTTACTGTGCTATGTAATCACTGAATTTTGTAAATTCTTTGAAGATATTCAAATGCCTCTCTTCCTTTTGCATCTTGGTAAAATCAAAAATATTAATTAGAGTTTTATATGCTGGTTTTTTCCACTGGACCAATTAATCTGTCTATTCCAAATTTGCATTTCCACAAGGATGGTGAAGGCATGAATTTGTCTTGTCACTAGTGAACTGCTGAAAGGATGATGACATTTCAGTAGTGAAACTTTCTCTGTGTTTGTGACTTCTTACATAAAACATTGACAAAACTGTGTTTGCAGTATGAAAAGTGTATGTCTGTGCTGGTTTAAAGGTAAACCAGCAAGGGAGATGAACCCAAGTCAAGAGATTATAAGTCAGAGTAACAATTTAATAAAAACAATACAATAAATACAATTACATAGACAGACAATTGGTTTTAACCCACAAAACCCAGATATATAACCCAGCACCCTGGGGCATGAACAGAGTGGTGTTTGTTGGGCTGCCCTCCCCATGCTGAGCCCCATGTGGTCCCTCTGAGTCCAAAAGTAAAAGGAGAGGGAAACCCTGTTGGTGAGAGTGCTGTTGCAGTCTGGTTGAGGGTGGTGATCACAGTCTGGTTGGGAGTGCTCTTGCAGTCTGGTTGAGAGTGGTGGTCACAGTCCAGTCCAAGTTCCGGTCCTTCTCTGGATCCCACGAAAATTAGAAGTCCCAAGATCCCAAGATTATATATCCTCAGGTTCAGGCAGGAATGCCCAGTACCTCCCTCAGGGTGGGGAGTTCCACAATGGGTGTGAGGACAGGAGCATCCTCCTATCTCACAGGCCTCTTAACACCCAGTTTATAGCCTGAGGTGTCAGGCCTGCTCTGGGCAGATGGTGTAAATGGTCTATTGATAACAGTTTCTGGGAAATGGCATGGAAGGGTATAGAATACACAGTTTTGGGTTACACCCACACAGTGATGAGCTGGTCCCAGCTGTTCTAACTAGGACAGTCTCTCTTGACTTGCATATTCTGTCAAAGTCCATCTTCTAAGTGCGGCCTTTCTAGTGAAAAGGTTATGGTGATACCTGTAGAGCTAAAACTCATTCTACATTAACATCATCTTTTAATAATTTCAGAGGATGTATGGAGCAGTTCATGCACTGCACTAACTACATACAGTAAGATTGTGACTATATAATTCTGTACTGACAGCTTTTCATATTTTCAGCACCACAGAAAAGTGTTCTTGATTATTTTTTTATTAGGATTACTTACCGTGGAACAATTTTCATAAATTATTACTTCATTTTACGGTTCTCTTGACTATGCCATTTAGCTCAAGACAATATTTAGTTAAAAAAAAAACCACAAATAACCCCAAACCATACCACAGTTTAGTAGCACACTAAAACAGAAAAGGGCTCTTCAGCATCTCTCCAGGCTTCACGTGGGCTAGCAGCACAAAGGTTCCAAGAAGCCAGTTGTAAGCAGCTAAATGGGAATTTTTCCAAATTTGAGAGAAATTTCTAGTAAAAAAAAAGCTACCTGTGCATGGGAATATAGCTGCAGTACCAGAGTGTCCAGAGACTCCTTGTTCAAAGGGTGGGTGTTTTCCAGACTGCTTCTCAGTCAGGATATATGTAGATGGCTCCCTCTGCTGCCAGTGCAATAACAGTTCTTTGTGTCTGTCTTTTAATTTGCATGTCCATTTGTCCTAATTTTCTAAGCAACTGGTATATGCTGTGTTGTGTTCATGTAAGAGATTGTGCCCAAACCTTGTGAATTTAATTCTACAAGTGAATACATTCACAGTGTTATTATTTTTAACAAAGCCTTCTTCAAAGTCTTACTTGATATTAGTTCTGTTGCTGTGCTGCCACTACTGTTACGTGTTCAAGCCTTGAACTGTCAAGGAATTATGATGTATTTTTATTCTGTGACATTTTAAATTATTCTCTCCATAGGGGAAGCCTGTGGGAACGCCAGATGCTGGTGCCTATTTCCGTGTGCTAGCAGAGCATGAAGTAGCTGCCTTCTTTACTTCACCAACTGCAATTAGAGCAATCCGTCAGCAGGACCCTGAGGCAACCTTGGGAAAGCAGTACTCTCTGAAAAGGTGAACTAAGGATACACTGGAAGCAGTTTCTTCCAGAAATAAGCTGGATGAACTAAGAATAATGGACTATCTGCTTACCTCTGTAGAGCAGCATTTTAATATATTCTTGAAAATTTAGGTGTACATTTATTTGCTTATAAATTTATATTGATAGTCAGAGGAGATGAAAGCTGTTAAAATATCTATGACTCTAACATAAAGAGCTTTTACTGAGTTAGGATTTCTCATCCATCCTAAATTTTACTCCACTGTGTTTATACCCTGTAATACAGTATTAGATTATGTGATCCGGTACTGTTTTCCCACATAACTTCTCATTTTGTTGAGTGCACAGGATCTTTAGTATTTGTTTAATCAGAAACTAGTCAATGTTTTGGTTGTCCTCCCCATAACTTTGTTATTTTTTATGATTATGTGCTCCAAAGACTGAGCTATTTGCTATCTTGTACTGGTTTTAAGGTGTTTATCAGTATACTATCAGCATGCTTCAAAATCATGACTGAATTCATCCTCACAAATCCCCTGTGAGATGAGAGAGTGGTATTATCTGTATTTTGCACATGGGAAGCTGAGGCACAGAGAGATTAAGGTCAAAGTCTTCTGTTAGTTTTGAATATCCAGTCTGAGCCACTGAACCTACTCATGTTTCAGAGTTCTTAGCATCATATGGTTAAAATGTGTTATTAGCATTATGTTAATAAGATGCTTGTCACAGTGACTTGGATCTGGGTGTGTTTAGTACTTCTACAGACCAAGTTTCTATATCTTATGGTAAACATTCTAAAAATGGAAAATATGTGGATTTGGGCCATATCTAATCTTGAAGTTCAATAAATTGCTCAGCATCAAATAGACTGTGTCAGACTGTATAGGCAGTATTTAGTCACAAGAACATCTATTATTGCCCCTGTCCAAAGAGAAGGGGAAGATGCAAAGCCATGTAGTTTCATTAGACCTCCACATTCTTAATTGCTCAGGAAAGTTTATGATTAGTATTGCTTAAAAGACTGCGGAGAAAAAGACTCAGGCCAATTTAGTGTATAAGATAAAGAGAGCAGGTCCTTTAATGAGTCCGTAGGCGTAGAGGAATACATTCCACGTGAGCGTGCTCAGACAGTGGTTCTGTGATTTTATAATAAGGTCCATCCAATCCCAGGTCTATCCACCCCCAGTTCTGACCCCTGACACGCCCCTTCGGGAATTGGGTCTGGGGGCATTTGGGACCCCTTCTTCCTCATCTTCATCTTCTTCACAGCATGTACAGTCCTTGGAGTTCCTCCAAAGTTCTGGGCTTGAAGGTCGCTGTGTCTGTGTGATATCTTCTGGTCCGGGCCTTAAGGTGTTTTTCTACAATTCTACCTTGAAAAGAAGACTAAACATGCTAACGGAATTTTAGAGGGATTGATGTGAAATGGGGTAGTAGGGTTGGGTATGTGTAAACATTATGGTGCAGGGTAAGGAATATAATACAGCTACATTAAAATCTACATTCACTACACATCTACTTCTAAAATCTATAAAAGTTAAAAATCAAAAAAAATCTCTGAGACATCATTAGTAAGCTGATTTTATTCCTGAAGTATTCATTACAAGTTCATCTTACTTTCTTACATCTGTTTTGAGTGCTATCATCAATCCTTACCCCTCCTTGAAATATGAAACAAGTTGATTTGAGACACTACTGCACTATTCTTCTATGATGTTTATTAACAAGAAAGTGATTCAGATGCTAGAACATTTAATTGCTGTTCTTTGGCATTTTTTAGGCAATTACTTAAATAACTTAGTCTGTCTTTAGAGTATTCATTTAATGGGAAATCTGCTAGCCTGCTTTGTAAGTCGTCGTGTTTTCTGACCAAATGAGAATTCCAGATAAGTCTCCTTGCAGAAATCAGTTGCCACAGATATAAAGAGGTATTTCATTATTCCTATTCAACGCATATGAAATGAACTTCTCCATTTGTCTGCAAATTTAGTTGTCTCATAATTCACTCATCTTTGGACCATGTTGTTCAGTGGGACGTGGCATCTCTTTATGAAACCTTCTAATGCAACATTTAATATCTAGTAGGTGCAGTTGTTAAGAAAGTCCAGCAGATGATTAAAATTTCCATTCTAGGAAAATACTAGTGTTTGGGTGTTACTTGGATGGACTTCTCTATTCAAAGTCAAGGGAATTCTGTCTAAATCACTTTGAAATCAGTCTTACTTTTAGTTCATTTACTTGATCTATAATGCTTTCTTCTTTCTGGTGAAGAATCTTAGAAATGAGGTATCTTTCTGCTACCTGGGCTAAAGTGAATCCTTACTTTAGAGCCTCCACATCCAAGAATGCAGTCCAGAAAGAGATTTCCACCATGGTACATTTCATTCCTGAGAAATTGTGTTAAAAAAATAATAAAGGTCAGTATCACTTAAAAAAAAAAAGTGTTAAAAAAGAGAGTTTGTTACTGTTAAGGAAAAGAGTTGGTAGGCAATGCCAGCTTCCAGTATACGAGGGAGTACTTGATTTACAGGAGTAAATTGAGTTATAAACAGACTTGTGTTTGAAATGACTTTTGAAATGACATAAGTTAAAAAAATTTCTGTTAAGAACTGATGTTTCTGGCATCACTGGCCTCTGCACAAAACTATAGGTAAGGTTTCTAAAGGTTCTAGTGTGTATGCTTTAAATTCCTTGTGGTTATTGCAATCAAATCTTGAAATTTTTTTGCTTTTGACACAAAATGTGTCTTAAACACAACTCATGCTTAGCAGTAAAAGAGATGTTTAATTTATAATAGTGTAGGACAAAGGCCCTGTTCAACCACATATTTGTAGGGGATCTAAAGACACAGCTTTTGATAACATCCAGTGCTGCTGAGCAGGCTGCTTCCTGTTGTGTTTGAAAAACAAGTAACATCCAAATTCCATGAGCCTCATCTACCTGAGCATGTTCTGTTCAGCTCTTTGAATCCATTCTCGTCTTTTGAGGTAGCTTCATAACACCAAACCATTAACTCTTCCCATATTTAGAATCACACTTTGCCCTGTAATTGATGTAATAGTTATGAGCTGGTTCACTCTGATTTCCAAGTGATTAGCAACTGATGGTTTTGCATGGAATGGGGGCAACAAATCAGCAGATTAGATTAACGTAGAAGTTACAATTTGCCATTTGTGTCCCATAGTCTACTTTGCTTTCTTTACTTTTCATCTGTTGAGAAATGGTCTGCCATTTTATATCATGAGAATTTAGAGATTCTAGCTTGTTCATCTGATACTAGATATTAATGCACTTGCTTTTGAAAGAAATATGAGACTGCATGAAAACTGTGCAGAAATAATGAATATAAAGTAGATAAGAAATTCCCATTATCTGTCTCATAACACACAAACAAGAGGATGTGAAATTAAAGTAGAAAATTCAAAACTGTAAGAAGGAAATATTTTGTCATATAATTGATGTTTCACACATGCTGCTAGAGGATACGTGATTAAGGCACAGAATTTGGGACAATTGAAGTGCATTATGCAGTTCTGCCTGCTGCCCTCTACTCTGTGCTGCTGTAGATCATGTGTGGCTGTTCCTGTTGGAGTCCTGAGCTGTGCTCATGAAGAGCCTTTGTGGGGCTCTCCCTCACCCACACTGTGAGAAGGAGCTAAGCTGCAGTTGTGTTCTGTGTCCCTCTTGACTCTGTCACCCAAACCTCCAGTGCTTGGATACTTGTGGCCAAGGTAAAATCTATTCAGGGAGGGAAATGAACAAACCCATCAATCGAGAAAAATCAGAAGGATCTAAAAATACTGGTTTTATATTTTACGTGCTTAAATATATATATATATATATGTCTGTAGACTCCAGGTGCATTAAAATTTAGTAAGAGTTCTTTATTTCCAATGTATGTTAAGAAGTGTTGTCTTTTTAGGAAAAAAAATCTTGTTTAATATGATGCAGATAGAGGGTTTTTTTGCCAGAAAACGTACCTTAACCTAGTATGTGCAATCCAGAATTGGAAAAACCCAAAACTTCCATGATCTTTTGATTTGGAAGAGTGAAGCTCAGATTATTACTCATGTGAATATTCCTGCTTTTGGGAAATGGTTTGGAGGTGTGGTTTCTTTTGTGCTTAGACTGACCCCAAAATGTACATGCTGTATTGAACAATTTAGATTGCACCAGGATCGTTAGGGACATTGATCTGTCCTTTACTGCGCTCTTGGACAGGGCCTAAAAGCCTGTGTGCTGAATTTCATGTTAGAAATGTAGATTTTCAGAACAACTGAGGACATGTTTATTTAACAGAGAGGTTTAAAGACCTTTCTTCTCAATTAACTGCAATTAACTGCATTGCATTGCAATGCTTTTAGAAGCAGTGACGTGCTTTGAAGGTTTAAGTGAACTATTAAAAAATTGTTCAGTTGGACATTTTATAACCATTGCCATTCCTTATTTTGCTATACTGTTTGATAGAGAAAATAATTCCATAGTTCTTGTGCTTTGTTAGGCTTGTGGCACTTTGCTCTGATACTCTTTTTGATGGTTTTGTGCTGTAAATTTGCCGAAGAGCTAATTTTTCTTCTTTTCACAACACAGAGTTGATCTTGACCTGCAGATTGTTAAATGTGATTATTAGAGCTGGTAGTTCAGAAAAGAGGTATTCTGCTTTTGGCTCAGGGGATAAGAAGGTATCTTAACTTTTTCATCAAGTTTCTGCTGTTTTAATAGCCCTGTTTTAAAACAAGGACACTTAACAGAATTTTTCATTGCTTTATGAAGTTAATGCATTCATTAATTTAATTTTTAAATCATAGCTGGAATGTTGTTTTTAACATGCCTAAGGATGGAATTTTCCATATAAAGTAAATCGAGCAGAATTTACATATGCTGCTTGATGGAAGTACCCTCCATATGAACATGAGTCTTAAAAAAGTCTCATAAAATACATATTTATGGTTATTACTTAAACAATGTTTTGGTTTTTTTTCTACCATAAACTTTTATTTGTGTTAGAATTCTAGTTAGCTATTGACTATAATAGCTATTGACCATCAGCAATGGCTTGTGCTTTACAATTAAAAGCGTTCAGGTGCAAGATATTGATTAGGGTCACACTCATTACAATCAGTATCTTCCAGTGTGCTCGGAAAGCAGTTTACCAAAATGATGTTGAGTATTTATGAGTACAAAAAATTTGCTTATTTGATGTGATAGCTGCTTATGCATTTGAGCTCCTGCCTTCGATTCCAAGTAAGAAACCACTCCAAGCCCTCTTGGAGTGTCAGAAAGGAGGGTTGGCCAAAATCTTGTTCTGAAATTAAGTTGAATTCTTTCATCTACATGTTCAAGTTCAATATGGTAATATTTTTCAAGATCTTCTGACTTAATACTACAAGTATTCTAATTGTTACTTAGAAGGAAGGAGCATACCAAGACTAAGAGCCCCCCTTCATCTTTTCCCTTTATCTGGAACGGTGACTAGAGGCATTTATTTTATCTGTTATCTTGTTTTTCTTTGCACATCCAGATCAAGATATATACTTTATTTATTTTTATTTAAAGGTTCAGAACATTATTTGTAGCTGGTGAGCACTGTGATGTGGACACGCTAAAATGGTCAAAAGAAGTTTTCAAGGTACCTGTCTTGGACCACTGGTGGCAAACTGGTGAGTGTTTTAAAATACTGTTAATAAAATACAGTGAGGAGAGATTTTCAGACTTGTTTTCTGACTCTGCAGGTAGAACTGTTATTTCTTTCCATGAATATTTAAATAGGCAGGATCAAGCATGAAAATAAAAATTCAAGCGGGAGGAATATTTTTTGGAAGTGGTCTGAGAAGTGACTTCAGGATACATTTAGAACACAGCATTTTTAAAAGCTATATAGGAAAAAAGGTATTTTGTGATATCTGTGTTTAAAAAAAGGGTTGCATCCGTATTTTTTCTGGGTGGATTTTATATTGTTTGCATCTGTGACTGTTTTGACAGAAAATTTGCTATTTAAGGATTAGCTTAAGGTTTTTCCACATAAATTTTGTGTAATTAAAAACAAACAATCTGCAGCAGAGTAGACTCTTTGGTCTTTAATATTGTACTGCATGGATGTCATTCAACTTTTAGTGATTACTTTGGAGTGCCTTCTGTTTATTTCACTGGAGGAGGATTAGGTACTTAGACTGCAATGAAGGAATCAGAGTACCAATCTATGTGTAACTTTGCAAAAATCCCAGTTGAATTCTGGATTAAGGCTTGATCAAATGTATCTCTTTATAACTATGGATTCATGTATTTTTAAATTTTACTGTTACGAGAAAAGATTAGGATTTTGCTTCTTACACACATTATGGCTATTTGAACTAAGGAAATGTATTACAGCAACTTCCTCCTTTCTTCCCTCCTTTGCTCCCTTCCAAGAATACCTGTTGTATTTTCAGTGGATCATTTTGAGTCTGTGGTTTCTCTGTCTCTGTCTCTGAAGAAAAACCTTCTGAGGTTCTGCCATGATGGGTCAGATAGCAGATATATAAGATTAGAATAAAAGTGGGAAACTATTTAGTTCCTCTATCTATTATGTAATTAAAACAGTTGAGGAGGCTTAAAATGCCTAATGTCCTTAAATAGCCCTAAATGTCCGTAAGACTGGGACATTCCCCGCCCCAATCTTAGATAAATACTGAAAAAGTACTGGAAGATAGTGCCATTTTTTATGTAATCTTGATTTAATCTGCTAATTAACTGATTAATTCGAGAGATGAGATTTATATTTTGCTCAGTTCTCTATGATCCTAATGTCTTTAGGCAAAAGCAGGCCTGAGTGATGCAAAATGAACAATATTCTGAAAAAGATTAAAAGATCAAATAATGTCTTTGACTAACTACTGAACTGTCAATAAGCAATATTACTGTATGTGATATTATCTGTCTATGTTTATGCAGATACATCATCATCATCATCATGGCCAGGCTCCCCCTCTTTCTCTCCTTTCACCCGCCGGGGCTAGGGCGGGGGCCAACCGTGGTCACGCCTGGGGGCCGGGGTCCCCGGACCTCCGCCGCACGTGGCACGGGGGCTGGCAGATACATAGATATATATAAAATTGCCTATAGCTTTGGCATTTAGTGCATAATATTTAGTGCAAGAGTTCCATGTTACCGCATTCGTTCAGACATAGAACCTTCACAGACCTTCACAGAATATTCTGAGTTGAAAGAGACCCACAAGGATCAGTGAGTCCAATTCTTAAGTGAATGGCCCATACTGTGATCAGACCCACAACCTTGTTGTTATTAGCACCATGCTCTGACAAACTGAGCTAATCTCAGAGTATCTCAAGTATCAAAAATATCAATGAGAGTTCCTAAAACAAGCATGTGGATGTAATTGAACTCATAGTATGTTGAGGTAAAACTGTGTTTGAGAGATTTTTCAAAAAAAGAACAAGAGCCCAGCTCAGAGCAATGTGTTTCTTGATTTTAATATTCATGGCATGCTCTTAAATTAAATTGTAGCAGGACTTAATGAGCTAAGGCCATTTCAAATACATTGTCTGAGAGCATTTAATAATTTGATTAGAAGGAAGACCCAAGTGATTTCTGTAGGAATGTGAGCTGGCAAGGCCTTCAGCAGGAAAAAATTTACTAAGTCAGAGTTCTTATCAGAGAACTGAATTTCAAGGGATAAGAAGAAAGAAGGAAGAAAGAATTGCAGAGTCAATGAGGTTGATGAGGATCTCCTGAGGTTGTTTAGTTAAACCCCCCTGCCTGGTCATGTCAGGCTTTGTGTCATTTGTGTCAGTCCACCTTCACCAATAACCCGAATTTTAAATATTCATATTTGTATTACGAGTATAGTAAGCACATCTTACAAGCTGGGAAATAAAGTCACAGGATCAATGAGTGGCAAATAGGATTTGAGGCAGTAAGGACTACTAAGAACTTGTTTTCTTTGGAGATGTGGTAATGGATGAAAGAATGGTATTTTCAGATCCTGTGCTCAGCTGTACATGGAGAGAGGATAGTCTTGTTTTGGGTTTGTGCACGTGTTTAGTTTCTGCTTATTTATATGAATTGACACTTAGCTCTTAAATAGCAATTTTCATCCTCAAAGTAGTTGTGCAAACACAAGCAATTAATTCTTTTAACACCCCTATGAAATAAGTACAGTTATTCCAGTCTTGCAGACATTAAATTGAGAAGGACAAGTATCTTGCTCCAAGCTATCCAGGAGGCCTTAAATTCAGTTTCAGAAAACGGCTTTTTTCTTTGCTCAGAGATAAATTTTCTTGTCATATTTACACGTTTTGTGATACTTTGTCTGAAAGGGAACAGGAATGCACTTTGGACCTTATTTTCTCTGTGCAGTTATGTTTTAAGGAAATGATAGAGTAGCTCTGTTTCAGTGTTGAGGTAATAAATTACAGGGCACCTTGCCAAATCTGTTTGAAGTAGCCTAAACAGTGTTTGGGTTGTACCTGCTATGTCGCATCCCTTATCCTGAGGGAAAAGCCTCAATACACAAAGAAGTGTGAGTTTGGTTTACCTTGGTTTTGGAGCTAGCTTTGAATTCTAGAACAAAAAAGGGGTAACAGCCAGGAGGTTGTGACAAGCTGTCAGAAACATAAAAGCTCTGAAAGTTTGTGTTTAACATCATCAGCTGCTTTCATGTTAGCTATTCAGCATTTTGTACTAAAAAGAAATAAAATTAAACTGCTACATCACTTTTGACATTTTGAAAAAAATGTCGTTAGATTTCAATTTCTTCATAATAAGTATAGGATGTAAAGATTTTTTTTATATTTTTAAATAAAAACATTTTTCAGACTCTTTGGGGATGTGTAGGAAAATTAAGATGAAACAGAACTGAAGCTGAAAATTCAATGATAAAATTTGAGTTGCATAAAGTCTCTGTCAGGAGACATGTTTCAATAGAACTTTTTGTTGTGTACTATGGAAATCAAAGTTACAGAGTGTGCAAGTGTAGTAGGTTCGAATTGGAGTTATCCACTGTTGCCCTGAGTATCAGCAGGCAGAACTGTGAAAAGATTGTGCACGTTTTCTATTTTCGTGGAAATAGGCTGCCTTATCCAGTAAGGAATGGGTGTCTGCAGCAGGCACTAGGACTAAGATCACATAATGCTTGATGCATTATGGCTGCTGAAAAAAACCCCTTATATTATGTGCTCATTGTACTGCAGTCTTGGATATTCTGAGACATAGTGTGATTAAATTTACTGGTAGGAATTCCCCAAGTTCTGTAGTACAATTAATAATGTATTCTATCACTTTTAACGTTTTCTTTTTCTTTCTCTGTGTCTTACCTCTAAAACATGCAAATCCTATCTTTTTAATATTTTTATTAGGACATACGTTTATTAAGTAATTAAACATAGGAGTAATAGTTATACAGATCTTTTATTAGGACTATACAAACAAAACAACTCTATCGTTGAATTCAGTGTAAAAAATATGAATCATGGTTAAATGTGCTCACTGTAATATATTTCAACGAACTACTTCCTACTGCAATCATGTATGAGGAAGAGTTTACTAATGTGGTCTCCAAGCAGCATTCTTCAGATTCCACTGTGCAGTCTTGGCAGCATTGTGCAGAATCTCCTTCATGTGAGTATGCAGAAAGATGGGTTTTGCAACTGAATTCTGTTAGCTTATCTTTCCAGGTTTATACTACAGAACTGTTCTTTAGGTGAATTACCTTATTAGACTAGACCTCCATCTCCCCACAAGTAACAATTGGATTCCAAATTTTGTTCTTCAGTCATCTCCTTCTTTGCCCCATTCAAAACTGTGCAGATAAGTCCAGTGCATTTTTTAATATTGTGAAATTTTCAGACCCAAAGGCAACAGAAAAGGTAAACTAAAGAAAGGATGGCTGTTTAATTTGCAACAAAGAGTCAATTCTTGGAAAATTTTTTTGGAATGACAGAAATTCAGTTCTGGATTTATGGGGATCAGGAATATGGAACTGAGATGAAAGAGATGAAGCAAATTTCTTCCCAAGTCCAGGTTACTGGTTTAAGTTATCAGGTACCTCAGTATAGATGCAGTTCATGCTTTTTAAAGATGTGTGTATCCTGTCAAGATTGGAATCATGTTTTTTAGTGGAAGCTGATGTTCTGCAAAACAGTTCTACAGAAGTTGGAATTACCCTTCAGAAACTTCTGCAGCCCTGGAACCCTGAATTAGCGAGTCCTCTGAGCATTATCTTCTGGATAACTGAACTAATAAGAGTTCATCATATCTCCACCTGGAGACTTGAATTCTGTCCTTTAAGAGTATGAAAATAAAGATTGTTTCAGCCATTTTGGTTTGTTTAGTAATCAGATGTGAACTGCATATCACTAGTAACAGTAGCTCATCATTCCTTCAATGTCATCTTAGGACACCTAGTTCAAATAGGTTTTTGGTTGCCCTTACTGAAGGAGAGAGAGGAAAAAGTTTTTTGGGGGGGGCATGGGCATTGCCAAGGCAGAGATTGACCTTTCAGTTCTGTGTGGCTGTCTCATTTTGTGCAGTTGTCTTTACCATTAACTTCAGAGAAAGGAAAAGGAACAGAACTTGTATTTTTTTCTGTTCTGTCTGGTCAACCGTTGTCAAAATCAAGGAACTCTTCCTAACTCATCCTGATGATTTGCTTCTCTCCTGAGAT